TGCAAGCAACCGAGCTTCCTGAGGGTAACAGTTCAGACCTGAATTTTCACTCTTAAGTGATGCACGTTTCCTGCAGGGGGGAGGTCAGCCCTACGGGAGGTTTGCAAATGGACAGAGCTGATTTCCGTGCATCTGGATCCTGCGTCTGCAGGGGCTGAGCAACAAGCAAGTGTAGATACTACATGTAGATACTATACTTGCTGTAGGAAGTTTGCAAGGTGTCTCCTTGCAGTGACAGTTCACCATCAGAAACTACGCACTGACTGGGTCCTGTTCTGCTCATCGAAACTCACGCTGCAGACTGCATCAGGTTTAAAGCAGAACTCTTCCTGGAGCAGGTGCCACTCAGCAGGCTTTACAACTGATGTTGCAATAAGGGGCCCTGGCAATAGAATTTTACTGCAATAAAATACTGACAAAGGTCTATATTGGGATAAGTAATTTAAAACACTTATTTGTACTATTTAGACTTCAATTTGTTTAAAACTGAAAGGACTTTTGCTGATCTCACTTTCCTATTGATTGTTTGTTTACTCTCTATGCTCAGCACAGATACTTGGGGCGGTGTGCTTTATGTTCTGACTTTTCTGGATTTCCAGAACCACAGGGCTTGGGAGGGCCGAAGAGGAAGGGCTTGCCTACACTAATCCAGAAAAGCCTGAAAGCATTTCTAATCTCTGTAGGTGTTACCTTGCGTTAACCTGAAGTCTTTGGCTGATGAGTAACTTAAATCATTGCTTTGGTAGTTGAACATTGCAGCGGGACAGGAAACTTTTTTGCCTTTATTTCTAGCTTCCATGCTGAAGTCATCAGCATCCATCAGAACAAGGCTTGAGTGCCTTTGTGTGTCAGGGAGTCAGCATGCAGCACTGAGCGAAGCCTCTGCTGCAGGCAGGTGGGCACACCAACATGCAGTTCATGTTAATTCAGACACACATGAGAAACTCCTGTGTGGTATAATGTGCAGTTTTGGTATTGGCTTTTCCAGCAAGTGGAAGTTTTGGCATATCTTGTGGGGGTGAAGGAAAAATGGCCACAGTTGAGCTAACGAGTTCCATCCGCAGGAGCAGTTGTTTGTAAACGTTCAACCCTCTTTCTGCACAGAGGAGCTATTGCACACATCAGTGTTTGCCTGCCTGAGTATGAGTTGCCTTGGGCAGCTGAAATCCCGGGTTGAGCACAGCCTGTCTGGGTCTCTGTAAGCCAGCAGTGGACTGAATCCTGCTTGCAGAGATGCTGTTGTGCTTCAGCCAAGCAACAGAAAATGCAGCTTCCACCCATCAGCCTTTTAGCTGCAGTTGTTAGACATCAGTGTAACGTTCCTCCCCTCCACAGCTTTAGGAGCAAACTGGAAAATTGCAGCAGTTGATTTGACATCTTTTTTTCTTTTTCTTTCTTTTTTTTTTTTTTTTTTTTAACTTCCATTCAGTTAAAGGCAAAGGGGTTCTTCGTATGTTTGAAACAGAGAAGTTGGGCTTTTCCTAACACAGCACCAGTCAGCTTGCACTGCTGAGCTCCTCTGTGACTGGAACACATCAATATAAGACCAGAAAATAATTCTTGTGCTTAACTTCAAGGGAAATTAAAAGCCGCTTTCTGGTAGAAAGAGGGTAATTTGGTAACTGGGCAGACTTTTCAGCATCTGTGTTTCGTTAAAGGTGGGTCTCTGATCAGCTAGAGAAAATCCATCTGAGATGGTATCAAGTGTAGCTGCGTGTCACTGTGTGGGGGAAGATGATCCTTCAGGTGGCTCTGCTCTCGCATGGTGCTGGGGGTCGTCTCCTCACATCCATCCCTCTGAGAATTCTGGACTCAGTGTACAAATTTTTGGTGCTGCTACTCACTAGGTGCAAAATACATGGTGCAAATTCAGCCCAGCTGATGCCTTCCTTCGTTGTTGGGCCAGTCTCCTCAGAGCAGATTGGTACCATCGAGTGTATTGAATCCTCCGTAACTCCATGCAAATGAAAACGAGGCGCTTGAATGCAACAGTGCAAAGTAGTTTGAGGTTTGCTTTCTCTGAGAGCTGCTGATAGGTTAAAGCTGTAGGAAGCCAGTCCATTTTAGACCAATGGATTTTAGTTAATTGCTATTTCACTCTGTTTATATGTGAAACCGCGGGAGTTCTTAATTCTACCTGTGATCTAGAGCAAACCAGCAATTGATTTACTGTCAGGAGAAAGATGCTACAGGTTCTAGATTATTCATCATCCACTTAATTGGTCTTTGTGTTGCAATTGTAAAATTGGCCATAATAGACTCTTCCAGCATTACCACTGCAAGGTAACATGCTCACTGAAGTCTGGTGCTGTCTGGTTGGATGGAATCAATTCTCTTTTAGATGGCACAGTCAGTCATCGAGAAATGCTCCACGATTTGTTTCTTAGCCAAGTCTTTATTTTCCTCTGGCTTTGGGCAGAAGTTGCATCAGGGTAGGATTTGGGAGGACTGTGGAACAGTGACCTAAGGTAGATAAGCACCTTTGTGTCAGTGACATTCTGGATGTAATGGTCAGTGCCTGTGGAGCACTGCCAAATAAGCTCAGGGAAAGCTGACAGTTCTGCCTGCAGAGCTGCTGGTTGTAGGTCTGGGATGAGTGATTGTGTAAAACGGGTGTTCAGCCTGCTTCTGGCAGCGTGTTTTGGAGAGCTGACTTTGGGGGGGATTAAAAAACGTGCAGAAATTCTTATATGTGCATTGTAGGAGCTCATCTCTAGGAGCAGGGCTCTTAATTGTAAAACTTAGCAGTGTTGTAACAGTAGTGCTTTCTGTATCTGTGTTTGAGTAAAGGCTATCCTAGTGGAATGGTCTGAAGTACAAAGCAGGAGGCGCTTTGGCTAATTCACTAGATCTTCGTTTTGCTAAACAGCCGTGGACGCTGTGAATTGTGTTGATTGGCATGTCAAGCACTTGGCTTATGAGAGAAAGATACAGGGGTTTTACACTATAACCAGTGACTCTAGGTTCAATAATACTCTAAATACAGATTCAAGGTCAGATCAGGGTCACACTTGCATCAGCAGTAGCCTAAGGTTGTGGTGGTTCATGAAGGCCACGCAGAGATCTGGGGAGTGCAGTGCTGGCCTGCTGTAGGTGGAGCTGCATGTGGGAATGACCTCCCTACTTGCAGAATCTTCCTTGCTCTCTACGTCGAAAGACTTGACTTAACTGTAAAAAGAAATGTCTCTCAGAATAGCATCTCTGTTTTACTAAGCTCAACCGAGGAAGTCCCAGCAATGAAATGTCAGATAAGGGCTTAAGCACTATTGCTGGGATCTGTGTGACTTCAGGCCTGGATCTGTGCTTGGCATACCCAGTGATGTGATTTTAGCTCAATGTCACTTCTGTGGTGCTCTGGAATCCTACAACCCTCTGTTCAGCCAAGAAAGGACTCCAGCTGGCGGGATGCTGTAGCAGGTGTTGTTGGGCACCAGAGACTGAGGAACTCCCGGTAGGGAAGGAGCAGAGCATGGCAGGGCAGTGGCAATAAGGAATCGGTGCAGTCCATGGCAGAGGCACTGAATTCTCTGGTGCACTGAGCAAGGTCTTATTTCATGGGGTTGCAGATGAAAGCACTTATGATCTCCCAGCTGGCTTTACAAGTTTTGTTCGGTGTGCTTTTGGTTTAATCTTGGACCTCTGGTCACCCAAATCTTGCACACTGAAATACAGCTGGCAGTATCCTGAAATAAGAATAACTTAACTGAGAAAGCAACAGTACTGGTCTGTGGTGAGCCGTGGATTAACTGTTGTGCATCTGCTGGAAGGTGTCCTCCCTGTGTCTGGGTATTTCTGTGCCTTATATTTGCTAAAATTACTCTGTTGTTGGTCTCTGGAGTGCTTGCAGTGCTGTGCGGTGCTGTTTGCTATTGCAAGGGAAAGCAGTTCAGAGCCAGACATCGAAGCTTTTGTTTCTCCCACGATCACTGTTTCCCTTCATATTACCCAGAATGAAAATGATCAGGATAATTTAACAAATCTTTTTGACCTCTTTTGGTATAGCAGCTCTCCCGAGGCAGAATCCAACACGTGCTCAGAGTGCCGTTAATATCTGGAGTTTTGTTTTCTTTGTGGCCGTACAACAGAGCCGGTTGTTCTTTGGCTGTGTTCATCCTGCCCAAGCAGGCACTGGGCTGCAGTCCCCCCTCATCATCCGGGTACCGCGGGGCTCTTCAGGCAACGTCTGACCCAGAACATCGCGCTGCATTCCAGCTGTGGTAGAGGAAACAACGCTCGTGGAGCGTGTTCTGACCTCACCAACACACTGACCTCCACCGGGAGACAGATACGGGTTTTACAGCACTGCAAAAGCAGCCTTGGCACTGCAGCACAGGGCGCCTTCTGCAGTAACCCTCACCCCATCCTGCAGAGCGTACAGACCCAGCCGACCAGGTGTATTTTATGTGAGAGAAAGAACGTGAGGACTGCGTGTTGTATTAGCAGCTTTGTGTATAAAATGGCATTTTGGCAATCAGAGTCTAATATATTTAAAACTTTTTTTTTTTAAAGGATATTTGATATTGTATGGAGCTGACTTTATTGTTACTGTAAGTATGAAGAGATGGTTTCTTAACGTGTTGAAGCAACGCATAAAATCTTAAATTTTATGTAAAACTCATGCCAAAAGGGTATGTCTGACAGTATTAGCACCTGACCTGCGTCTTTAATAGAGAGATTGAATTTTTTAATTTAAAAACATATATATATATATATTAAATTTCTTTTAATAACACAGAAAGTGCCGTTGGTTCTTCTGGGCTTCGCAGCTGAGGGCTGTAACGAATGAGGGGCGGGGCGGGCGGCCAACGGCGGCGGGGCGGGGCGGGACGAGCGGCCAATGGCGGCGGGGCGGGGCGGGACGAGCGGCCAATGGCGGCGGGGGGCGGAGCGCCGCTCCTCCAGTGGCGGCGTTGCGCGGCGCCGTTTGGATTCAAAGGCGCTATAAAGGCGCCGTAACGGCGCTGCCCGCGGCCGCCCGCCCTCC